GCTAGAAAGGACAGATCTGAACTCATCACAAGGCCAGCCCCAGAAGAATCCACTAGAGGTCTTGGATGGAGGTAAGAGATGCTCCCTGGTGCCCAGGGAGGCATCCTGAGATACCCTGTGGGCTGCTCCGCAGAGGCCTGGGGCCCCTGTGCATATACAGTGTGTGTGCGTGCACACCCACCCACACGTGGGGCAGCTCTACCGGGGGCACCTCAGAGCCTGTTCCTCCCAGCCACACCCCTCCTCTGTGTCTGTCCCAGGGACACGTCCCTCAACCCAGGGTCAGTGTCTGGGAACTGGTCTTGGATGGCTCACGCACTCATTGTCTCCGGAACTTGAAAGTAGGTGGACAGAGGGAACATGGCGGGCACTGTGCCTTTAAGGTTTGGCCGGGGTTGGATCCAGCAGAGAACAGTTGGGTAAACAGCGTTGAGCACAGTGGGGAAAACAGACACTGTATAGGCAAATGAGGATGACAGAGCAGAGCCGGGCACTCCCGAGCTGCAGCCTGTCTGAGCCCTTGCACCCACACGTCCTCCCAGCAGCCCCAGGAGCTGAGGAAACAGGCTGGGAGAGGCTCTCAGGCAGCCAGCACAGAGTAGGTTTACAAACCCTGAGGCTGATTTCCCAACAGTCACTGGCGCTGTGACCCTCCCGGCCTCTTAGAAGGTGGGAATGGGGCCGGGTGCGGTGGCTCATGCCTGTAATCCCGGCACTTTGGGAGGCTGAGGCAGGCAGATCACCTGAGGTCAGGAGTTTGAGACCAGTCTGGCCAACATGGCGAAACCTCGTCTCTGTTAAAAATACAAAAAAAAAAATTAGCCAGATGTGGTGGCATGTGCCTATAATTCCAGCTACTTGGGAGGCTGAGGCAGAAGAATTGCTTGAACAGAGTTTTCAATGAGCCAAGATCGCACCATTGCACTCCAGAGGCTGGACAGCGAGACTTCGTCTCAAAAAAAAAAAAGGCGGGAATGGTGAACCACACTGTCAGAGCTGCCTCCGCCATGGTGGCTGCCATAGTGTGGCCCAAAGGAAAGAACACCCTCTCAGGATGAGGTCTCCACCCGACAACCCCTCCCACCTCCGGGCCTCTCTACCTGCCCCCACCGGGGGCCCTGCCTGCCCTTGCCCTTCTGAGGTCTCAGGGCTCCCCTGCAGCTCCCACGGCCAATCTGGGTGTGAGGTATTTTCTCTGTGGTCCTCCACCGGCCTTGTGGGCTGCCACTGTCCCCTACGATAGGAATTTGTCCCATACTGTGGGGTTTTTGTGAGGATGGTGCTGATTTCAAAATCTGGATTTCCGGCTGCTGGTGAACACTCAGGTGCGCCAACATGCCCTGATTATGCCAGAACACCAGCACCCGCCCCGCTGTGGGCCGCTGCGCCAGACCCTGTCCCACAGACCCCCCTCGGAGGCAGGGCTGGAGCAGTGACAGTTTGAGCCTCAGTTTCTCTGCTGCGAAGTGGGCCAACAACAGCTCCTCCTTCATTGGGTGACCGCGCTGGGAGGAGCCATACTGCCACTCTGCCCGTGCCCACACACTCCTATGTCCTGTCCTGGTGGCGGCCTGGCTGGGCAGAACCTAGGGTCTGAGCTGGCCTTCCTTCCCAACGGGGTGGCTGCGCCGCCACGTGCTGACTATGCTGTGGTCAGGATGAACTCCCCTGGCCTCCCAGGGTGGCCCTCACGTGTTCTTGACCCCCAGATCACCCGGTGGGGAAAGAGCTGAGGAATGAACAGATGGAGAAACAGAGGCCAAGCAGCCACCTAGAGCATACAACAGGTGGGGCGCCCGCCTCGCAGCCGGCCAGGGCTCTGGGTACTGTGCTGCTGCCAGCCCACCCCCTGCCACAGGTGGCACAGATGTGCCCATGAGTCGGGAGCAAGGCCTAGACAGGGTGGAAGATCCCTTTTTTCCTGAAAAATCACTCATGGTGACTTGCATTTTCTGTGCCTTCACTTTCACTTACAAAACTCACCCCTTCCCCCAGCAGGGGTGAGGCAAGGGTTAGGGGGAGCATGGGCTCCACACGGGCGAGGCAGGCACTGGGTTCCAAGGCTGGCTGCGTGGCCATCTGTGCGGCCTGGGGGCCAAGCAGACGTCACCTGAAGGCACCCCCAGCGACGCGGGGCTAGGACAGGCAAGCTGCGGCCTGGGGATCAGCACAGCCTCCTCAGCAGTTCTGAGCAGGGGCTCCGGGGCTCAGGGCTCCCTCCTGGGCCTCTCCCAAGCTGTGCCTCAGTTTCCTCCCCTGTCAGGTCGTCAGGGGATGCCCACTTCCCGGGGCTGACAGTAAAACAAGACCTGAGGCCGCTGTCTCTGTGTCTTTTGTTCACTGTGGGACCGCTTGCAGGAAGCAGGCCCAGGCTGCCCTGAGGAGCTGCCTGGCGATCTCGAGCCACCTAACCTCTGTGATCTCCTTCCTCCATAGGGAGGGAGAGAGAAGGGATCATCCTCACAGACCTTGACCAAACCCCAGCCTTATGCTAATAGCACCGACAGGGAAGCTGACGCACAGAGACGTTAAGCCACCTGCCTGAGCCCACACAGCTGCCGGGTGGCAGTTCTGGGACGTAGAGTATGGGCAGAGTGGCCCCCATCTGACCTCCCCAGGGAGGTCGGGAGGATCAGGAGCCCGCTCAGTCTTTTGGAGGCTTTAACGGAGGCAGGCAGACACGGTGAGAGAACGCACGTCTTGGGCGGGCCCTGGAGGAGTGGGTAGCTACGAAGCAGTGGGATCTGGGAGAGCGATCAAGGCCTCAAGTAGAAGACAGCAGCCCAGCCTTCACCCCAAGCTCCTGCAGCCAGTGCCACAAGGGGAAGCAACGTCCTCTGCATCCCACCTGGCTTTCCAGCCTGGAAGAGGCTCACCAGGACGTCCGGGGGGGGAAAGGCCGATTGAGCCAAGGGCTGGAAGGGCCAACACACTTTACCCATACCCTGGTGACTGGCCTGGGCACAGAGTGCCGCCCTAGGGCAAGGCGGGCCCCCTCTCGCCCCCGAAAGCCGAGGCGGCTCCATCATGCGGGAGGGGCTGACACCAAGCGAGGCCCAGCGCACGTTCATTCCCTCTGTGCCTTCCCCAGCCCCTCCGGGTCAGAGTGGGAAGCCCCGTGACAGCGTGGCCCGCAGTCAGGAGACCCCCGAACTCTCTGACGCTGTCTCTAGCGGGGCGGCAGGCGCTGTGCTGGAGCGTTCTGCGGTTCTCAGGGCGAACCCTGCCCGGGAAAAACCCAAGGTGGGCGCCAGCGGCAACGCCCGCTCGCCTTCACAGTTGGCTCGGTAGCCAGGAAAAGGTGGGTTCTTGACCTCATTTTGTGGATTAAAAGTGTCGGCGACGGAGGTTCAAAGCGAGACGCCGCGCAGTGTCCCCTGGGGTCACCGGCGTCGCGCCCCCCTGCCCTGGGGAACCTCGCGGGGCGCGTCTCAGGCGGGAGAGGTCGGGGTCGCCACCGACTGCGTGTTTTCCGCGTCCGGCCTCCCTGCCCCGGGCCCGCCCCACGTGGGGGCGGAGTCTGGGCCGGGGGCGGGCCGGGGGCGGGCCGGGGGCGGGCGCACAGCTGGAACCCGCGGCGGAGGCTCGGGCGAGCCCAGGCCCGGATCCAGGCGGCCCCGGCGGCCGCACCATGGACTCGGGTGCCGACGAGTACGAGCTCAACGGCGTCCTGCCCCCGGGCACGCCCGGCTCCCCGGGCGCCTCGGTAAGACCCTCCCCCCGCCGCTGCGTGACCTTGCTCCGCCCGGTCCTCTCGGGGCCCCGCGGCTCCCCGGGCACCTGTGGGCACCGAACCGAGTGCGCGCCGTGTCCGCACTGCAGAGTGGCGGGGGACGCCCTGTCCAGGACAAGTCCCTCCCGCCCCGTCGGGGTCAGAACGATGCCCCCAGGAGCTCCAGCCACCCCTGGCAAGTGGGTGGGACGTGGGGACGCAGGGGCGCAGGGCGGGCTGGCGTCCCCAGCCGCACTAAGCAGCGCCCGCGCTTGGCTGCGCGGCGGGGGTCTGGGCGCCGCTCCTCCGGCCAAGGACTGCTGGCGCCCCGCTTTCCTGGCCTCCCCCCACTCCCGCGCCGCTCTCTCTAACTTCAGCCTCGCCATGCCGGCTCGTCCGCGCACTTTGCCCGGGGACGGGCAGAGAGGAGTCACAGCCTCCGGGCTCCAGGCCAGCAGCGTGCAGACAGTTACGTCACCACGAGGTGACCACACGATCTAATGCGTGCCTTGATGGGAGAACTTGGGGCCCTCTGTGGTCCCGATTCCACTTACTCACCCTGAGAAATAGAATCGTCACACAGCCTCTAGGGTAGCCCCTACAGGCCCTCCAGAGCTTGCCCCGCCGGGCCTGGGAAGGCTGTGGGCAGCGGGCGGGCTGGCAATGGTCCACGCTTCAGAATTCTTCATCCCAGGACTCTGCACTTACTGGGCACCTTGTGTTTGCTGCAAGGTCCTGGCACGGTCCTCTGGTGACTTGTTTACTTTGGACATTCTTTCCTTTTCAACACCTCCCCCCGCCCCTCCAGGGATCGGGGCAGGGAACGGTAGCCTGTTGGGTTTTTCCAGGCCTCTCCATGGCAGGGACCAGACTGGGGCAAAGATACCCTGCTCAGGTGCTGGCGAACAGTCCTAGGCCGGTGCTGTGGGGACAGGCCGTGTTCAGGGAGGAGGGGCCCCGCAAGCCACAGGATAGGGTAGCCCTGGGGCTGCATGGATACTTGTCCCTAGGTTAGAGATGAGGAAACAGGGCTGAGAGGAGCTGTCGCACTGCAGGACTTGACTGGTGCGCGGGACCCTAGGGACCTGGCCCTGCCCCAGCGTGTGAGCACTTTGGAGCAATAGGCAGGGGGGCCTTCCGACTGTGTCTCTGTGTGGACCGTGTGTCCACACCTGGCTCTCTGCGATGTGTGGAAGGGCATCTAGGCAGAAGGAGCCGCAGGAGCAAAGGCTCAGAGGCTGGACCACGAAGACGGGAAGCCAGGTAGGAGGTGCGGGGATGGGCAGCCAGGCTGCCGGGAGGGGCCTTGCCGGCCTGATCGTGGTCTGGCATCCAGGGAGCTATGGAAAGGCTATGAGCCAGTGTGAGGATGAGCTCATTTCTCCTTGAGGGGTAGAAAACCTGCAGGGCCACTGTACTCACCCAGCCTGGGGGTTCCAGGCACACCCAACACCCTTTCCTCCTCCCACCCTCAAGATCCTGCCTCTCCATTTCTTGGGTACATCATGTCAGTATTCTGTGCCTCAGTGTCTCATCTGTGAAATGGGCGTGAAGCGGTGCCTGCTGTAGTGTCAGGGTGAGGACTCAGTGGCTGATGTGCAGGAAGTACCTGGAGCCAGGCCAGCAGTCAGTGCCCACATCCTCACTCCTCTCTGCCATGGAGACCCTCTCCCAGTGGTGACCCCTGGCCTGGTTTGGAGAGGGCAGTGCTTTGCCCAGCATGGGGCCCAAGGAGATCCTCAGTTTCCTTTTCTGTTGGATGGGGGTACAACTGCTCACCTCCCAGGGTGGCCGAGGCTTAGGGAGGAGCTGCACGTGGAACTCCGGCCTGGGTGGGCTCTGTTGGGGCAGGGCCGTGGGAAGCTCTCATGTCTCTCCCGCCCCATGTGCCCTGTGCCCCGTGTCCCTTCATTTCAGGGCCCCCATCATTGTCCAGGGGTTGAGTCAGCTCACTTGCGGCTGTCAGCGCAAGGAACAGTAAACAATTTTAATGTGAAAATGGCCTGAATCTGTCATCCCCAGGGCGTCTCAAGGCAGGGAAGTGGTGAGGATGAGATTGGGACGCAGCCCTCTGGTGCCAGCCACGTCTTCCTGCCCCTCACAGCCCTCAGGTTGAAGGTTCCTGGGGTCACATTTGGCCCAAGAGGCCTGGTCCTCAGGGACACGCAATTGTGCCCTGTATACCAGCTGTCTGGGCTGCGCGTGGCCTCAGCTGCCCAGGGGAAGTTTGCTCCCTCATTTCTGCTTTCCTGGCAGGTCCCGAGGCCAGCAGGGTCTGGGCCAAGTTCTAAAAGGCAACCCTAACATGGTCGCAGGGCCACTCCTGGCCAGTGCTGAGTCGGAGGGAAGTGGGTCTGTCTGGCCCAGCTGCAGTGGGGACCCCGCCTGGCAGCACTTCCTGTTGTCTTGGGGTTCGCTGCCGGGAACACACACGTGGATCTAGGAGACCCTCTCGGGAGCTGCATCCTGGGCTGACTGCTGGGAGACGGTGCAGGGCTCCAGTGCCAGCCCCTACCTGTCTGTGTGGCATCTGGGGAATGGATGGGCACAGCAGCTCGTGCCCCCACTGGTGGGTCAGACAAGGGATGCCGGAGGCCCCAGGCGGGTCCTAGCATATGGTAGGTGGAAGGAGGGGTGCCTGATTCTCAGGCCTTCCCACCATCTGCTCATGCCTGCTGAGTCCAAGGGTTAGGGCCGGGGAGCAGGACAGGCTGCAGGCAGCCAACGTCTAGACTGGGACCCCCGGCAGTTCATCCCTGTTGCCCACCTGGGTCCCGGTTAGCACAGGAGAACCTGTGCCCCAGGCTGTCCTTTCCTGGCCGTGCCGCTATTTTTGGAGCCTGTTCAGCTGCTTTTGAGTGGGTGGAGTTGGCTGGGGGGTAGTCTTTCAAAACAGTGAGAGCTAGGCATCAAGGAAGAACACCCCAACCCTGCCACCTACTGCCATGTGCTCCACCCGCCACCGGGCCTGAGATCATCCCAGTCAGTCCACTTCACATCCTTGTATGCCCATTTTACAGATGAGGAAACTGAGGCATAGAATGGTCACCCTACTGGTCAGTGTTGTGGCAGCTTCCAGCCCGGCTCCTCGCAGGCCCTTGGAAAGGGGGCAGCTGATATGCATCCCCACATTTGTGGGGCCACAGCCCCCCACCCTGTCTCCTCCCAGCCAAGCCCTGGGTGGTCTGGAGCACCCACTACGCTATGGCCAGAGCCAGGCCTGTAGATGCAGCAAGCCTGGTTCATATCCCACCGTGGTGCCAGCCCCTCCTGCCTGAGCTGAGGATGCTCACTGAAGTGGCCCTAGGACCCACCGTGTGTCCCAGCCCCAACACTGTGCAGCCTGCAGTGGCGAGGCTGACCGTCCACAGAAGGGAGCAAGAGGAGGTGGCCACAGCCCTGCACAGAGCCTGCCTCCTCACCCAGCCTCCTTCCTAGCTTTCAAAGGAAAAATACCTGGCCTGGCCCCAGGCCCCGGGTGCTGCTGAGGCTCTGGGGAAGTCCCGCTGGCCCTGGGAATATATTAACGACGGTGTTTATTCTCTGCACTGCCCAAGCCATGGGCTCAGGTTTCGGCAGGGCTGGGCTCCTGGCAGCTTCTGCTGGCTGGTCAGGATCACAGGGTTCCCTCCTCTGTGGTGGCTGGGTCCCCTGGCCATCCTAAAGCCCATCCCAAGACGGGCAAGTGCCCAGGAGTGGGGGAGAGTAGGGTCATCCTCCCTGGGACCCTTCTATGTGGTGATCAGCTCCAGAGCCCCAAGGCCCAGAGCGCTGAGGTTAGGGACAGGGAAGCAGACCAGCCCTGCTGCCTTCCCTTCCATGTGACACTCCCAAGGTGGCCTGCTGCCCGGGGTGGTTGCCAGCTACGCTGTATCCTAGGGCAGCCCTACGCTTTGGGACACAGTCGTGGGAGGCGGCTCTGGGCAAACCTCCTCCGAGCTGCAGGCTGCTGGTCTGTTGAATGGGTGAGGAACATGGCCTCTCACTCGGTGAGTGGGAGTTTCTCTGGTGCAGCCCCAGATATACGGAGGGGGAGACTGAGTCCCATGGAGGGGGAGCTTGTGCCAGGGCCACAGGCTGGGCTGTGGTGAGCCAGGGCTTGACCCTCGCGCAGAAGCTTCCCTAACTGCAGGTTGGATAGGAAGCAGATGGCCGGATGGGCTGTAAGTGCCCTTCCCTTGCAGGGATGTGTGCTCAGGGCATTTGCTGGCCACTCAGGACTTGGAGGCCACCCCGGGGCCTCTGCTCCACAGCCTCATGATACACATGGGAGACTGAGGCACAACGTGGGGCTAGTTGTCCTGAAGTTACATAGCTGGAGCCTGAGGCAGGGAGCCCCTGAAAGCTCAGCCCCTAAGGGGAGGGACAATGGTGTCAGCCACCAGGGCTTACAAGTCCTCAGGCCTGGGTTCAAATCCTGGCCCAGCACTCACTTGCTATGTGGCTTTGGGTAAGGAACCTTCTTGCCGAGCCTCAGTTTACCTACCCCAAGTGGGCATGAGGACAGCAGGGGCACAGGCTCCCTGTGGCTGGGGTGCTGAAAGCTGAAGGTTGGGGACCTGGAGGCTCTGTGCAGATGATGCATTTTAATGGGTCTGAGTGTTCCCTGTGACCGCCTGGCTATGAAATACTTAAATGGTTCTGCAGAGCTCAGAAAAAAGAGACTTCTGGCTGGGCGTGGCGGCTCACGCCCGTAATCCCAGCACTTTAGGAGGCTTAGGCAGGTGGATCACGAAGTCAGGAGTTTGAGACCAAACCCCCGTCTCTACTAAAAATACAAAAATTCGCCAGGCATGGTGGCAGGTACCTGTAATCCCAGCTACTCAGGAGGTTGAGGCAGGAGAATCACTTGAACCCGGGAGGCAGAGGTTGCAGTTTGCTGAGATTGAGCCACTGCACTCCAGCCTGGGAAACAAGAGCAAGAGTCCATCTCAAAACAAAAAGAAAAGAAAAAAGGGATTTATTCCTCGTGTCCAGAGGCCAACGTGGTTAGCCTGGGTCTGTGTGTCTGTGTATGTGCGTGGAGTTTGTGTCTGTCTGTGCAGGTGTTATATTGTGTGTAATGTGTCTTTTTGTGAGGGGATGTCTGTTTCTGTGTCTGTATGACTAGGAGCATGCACACACATGTGTAGGTGCCCCCGGAAGGTGGAAATCCTCACAGGGTCTGCACTTGAACGTTTTCTCCTGGTACCAAGTCCTGGGATGGGCACCCAAATGAGTATTAGGGTGGCCTTGATGGCAGGCACTTCGGCACTTGTTTGTGAAACTCAGGAGCACATACCCACTGTGGCCAGCAGCCCCCGGGATACTGCACCCAGCGGAACACACGTGTGATGGGGTGTGGCCCACTGGGTGGCTTCACAAGAGCAGAGCTGGAGACGACCTCAGCGCTGGGCATGGGCCCTCAGTCCGGGCCGTCCTTGCCCAGACCCTGGGTAGCCATGTCCTCGTGCGCTGGGGCCTGAGGGAATCCCCGGGAGTGCAGAGTCAGGCCCAGGGTGGGAGAGGCAAAGTAGAGACCCCAAAGTGGCTTTGGGGTGTGTGTGGAGCGACCCGAGAACCCATCAGCGCCCCAGGGACAGGGCTGCTGGCTGGCCCAGGTGAAGGCGGCTGGTCCTGTGTCCACGTGAACTTGCTACTTAGAGAGCAGCTGATGGCGAAGGCAGGTTGTTGGAATGGTTGCGGGCCCAGGTGTAGGCAGCAGAGCCTGCCGCTGTCCCCCGACGCCCACTCCCTCTTCCTCCTGGGCACATAATTTTAGATGAAACTGAAACACACGCAGCATGAAAGCAAGGCCCTTGCCCTCTGCTAGTTCTGTATTGGCTGTCTCGTGTATTTTTCATGGTGCTTGTTTCCAGCCTGCAGAAAGTCGAGGCATGGATGGATGCCCGTCTCCGCCCCTCCCTGCAGCCCTGTGGCACCCCGGCCTCCCAACCTGCATCTTTCATGAGTCTGGAAACAGGATCTCCCAGAGCGGGCCCCAGGAGGTCGGCTGCCAGCAGTGGGTTCTTACAGCTGCCTCCGAGCAGGTGACCAGTCCTGAGAGGCTGTGGTCCGGGGCCTGGAAACTGAGGGGCACCTACAGACAGAGGGCCAGGCCAGGGGGCTGGCAGGGTTGTCCTGAGAGACTGAAGAGGGCCTCCACCAGGGCAGCTTGAAAGGGGCGGACTCTTGCTTCCCGAGAAAGAGGAAGTTGAGTACTTAAGGCTGCCCTGGAATGAAAGGCCAGCCCTAGAGAGGACCTTCCTGTGGCAGGAGAAAGGGGCGTGTCCTGCCAGGGGAAGTCCTGGGAGGCTTCCTGGAAGCAGTGGCCTCTGTGTGGGGCCTTGGAGCATGAGAGTATCTGGCAACAGGGAAAGGCACTGGGGCCTTCAAGAGAACTGCAGGGGGCCCCTCCCAGATGGGCCCCTAACCTAAGGCAGAGAGGATTCCACCAGAGCTTGCAGCCCCATGTCATTACTCTGAGAATTAATCTGGAAGCTGAGCTCCACTGGATGTCATACGCTGAGGCATCCATTGAGTGCCTGCTGTGTGGAGACCAGGCTTTGGGTGCCCCACCTCAGTGAGGGCTGGACGCTAACGGCCGGATAGTTTTGCAAGCCCTGTGCTGAGGCCTGGAGGCTGAGTGGCCTGTTGGGCCCCAAGGCTGGGAGGTTGGGAGGTGGCAGGAGCCACCTCAGCCCTTAGGGGCAGCCCAAGAAGGCTGCATTCTTGCCTGGGCCAGCGCGAACAGATCCGTCCGCCCACACGTCACTTCCCTTGCTGGCACCAGGAGCGCAGACGTTGAGGGGAGGGCGAGAGGAGGTCAGGGGCACAGGCGGGTAGGGGCAGGCAGGGAGGAGCGGCCCCGCCTACAGCAGGAGGAGGAGGATCGGGCAGCGCTTTCCAGTGGAAAACCGGAGGGCGTGCGCTGAGGCTGCTGTGTCATTTCCTACCCAGAACTGTGTTCCTAGGGGACGTTCCACAAAGGCCGAGCTCATGCTCGCTGCCTCTCCTTAGAGTAGTAAGCACTTCCGTCTGGATACTTACCAGGGGCGGGGACAAGGGAAGCCCTCACCTGCAGGGCCCGGCCCACCCCCATAGCCAGACCCGGACACAGCCCCTGCCGCCTCCCCCACCCGCGCTGACCGTCCCCCTCCCCGCAGCCACCCCGCTGGGGCTGGAGGCACAGGCCCATCAACGTGAACCATTACGCCAACAAGAAGAGCGCGGCGGAGAGCATGCTGGATATCGCGCTGCTGATGGCCAACGCGTCCCAGCTGAAGGCCGTGGTGGAACAGGGCCCCAGCTTCGCCTTCTACGTGCCCCTGGTGGTCCTGATCTCCATCTCGCTGGCCCTGCAGATCGGCGTCGGGGTGCTGCTCATCTTCCTCGGTAGGTCCCTGGGTCCGGGTGGCCGGGCTGCCTGCTCACCTTGCTGGCATCTGCTCGCACCGCCTGGAAAGGGTGCCCACCACCTTGCACACTCGGCTCTCAAGGTGCTGCCGGGTCCCTGGCCCTCGCCACCCAGACACGCAGTCCAGGAAGTGGCACCTCCCCCGCCCTGCACTTTTTTGGTTTGGTTTTGTTTTGTTTTGTTTTGTTTGAAACGGGGTCCCCTGTCACCCAGGCTGGAATGCAGTGGCACAGTCTCATCGCACGTCAAACTCCATTTCCTGGGCTCAAATGATCCTCCCACCCGAGCCCCCAAAGTAACTGGGATTACACAGGCGCTCGCCACCACGCCCGGCTAATTTTTGTGTCTTTTGCAGAGGTGAGGTTACGCCTTGTTGCCCAGGCGAACTCCTGAGCTCAAGCGATCCGACAGCCTCGGTCTCCCAAGATACTGGGATTACAGGCGTGAGGCAGCACACCCAGCCTTGTTCTGTTCTGTTTGTGAGACAGGGTCTTGCTCTGTCTTTTCGCGGCTCACCGCAGCCTCAACCTCCTAGACTCAAGTGAGCCTTCTGCCTCAGCCTTGCAGGCAGCCTGCACCACAGCTCTGTGCCCCATGCCAGCTAATTTTTTCATTTTTGGTAGAGATGGGGTCTTGCTGTGCTGCCCAGGCTAGTCTCAAACTCCTGGGCTCACGTGATCCTCCCGTCTCAGCCTCCCAAAGTGCTGGAAGGACAGGTATGAACCACACAGAGGAGGGTCAGGGCCTGGCCTGTGGGCATTAGGGCAAGTGCTTCACTAGGTTCTTGTGGACCATGCCGTGAGATGGCCTCTGCCATGCCAGTCCTCACCTGGGACCAGGGTCCTCCTCCTGGCTTCGTGACCTTGGGCAAGTGACCTATTAAACAGTCACCCTAACAGAACTGCAGTTTGTGGCAGGAATCACTAGATTAAGGCACAAAGAGCTCAGTGCATTTGCCCAAGCCTGGCCTTGGATTGACATCCATAGCTTCAATTCCTAAAAAGAGCGGGGGCTACGGAAGGTGGGGTCACAGACAGTGGGGCTGCCCAAGCTGGGGGCGCTATGGTCAGCGTTTCAGCAAAACAGATGTATTTTTATTTTTCTCTGGGGGGCAAAATTCATCCTAAATGCCACTGAGGGCACTGTAGTGTCCCAGGACAGTCTGACCACCAGGGTGGGTCCCCTCCCACTGGCCCGGGCTGGACGCTCCATCTGGGCTGCCCTCTGCACTGTCCACTCCTCTCGCCCACAGTCAAATACGACCTTAACAACCCGGCCAAGCATGCCAAGCTGGACTTCCTCAACAACCTGGCCACGGGCCTGGTGTTCATCATCGTGGTGGTCAACATCTTCATCACGGCGTTCGGGGTTCAGAAGCCCTTGATGGACATGGCGCCCCAGCAGTAGGGCACCCAGGTGAGCTGGGGGGTGGGGCATGAGACCTACAGTCCTGGAGCTGCTCACTGTCAGAGGCTCTTGCAGTGTGGCAAATCCCTGGCCAGCCAAACTGGGACACCTTCTTAGGCCACGGGCACCCTCGTCCACACCTGCAAGGCCAATGCCTGGCCACTGCCCTGAGGCCAGCCCTGCTCCTGGTGCTGGCCACCTGCTTTAGACACAGTGTTGACACAGAACGTGTTTAGGAGCCACCATTTAAACATCTGGAGAACTCACTTAAACGTAAGATTTCGATGCATTCAGAATGTCTGTCAGAGAAAAAAGAAACTGAAAAAAAAAAAGAAAGAAATGAGGTATCTGGGTCAGGCACGGTGGCTCACGCCTGTAATCCCAACACTTTGGGAGGCTGAGGCGGGCAGATCACTTGAGGACAGGAGTTCGAGACCAGCCTGGCCAACAGGGTGAAACCTCGTCTCTCCTAAAAATACAGAAAGTAGCTGGGCATGGTGGTGCATCTCTGTAATCCCAGCTGCTCAGGAGGCTGAGGCAGGAGAATCGCTTGAACCCAGGAGGCAGAGGTTGCAGTGAGCCGAGATTGCACCACAGCACTCCAGCCTGGGTGACAGAATGAGACTGTCTCAAAAATACACCAAAAACCTGAAGATATCCCGCTTCGTTGATAAATCAGCGGCTCTGTACCCCTTATCACCTCCACTTAGCAAGTAAAGCTTCCTCCTTACCCTCATCTGAGAAAAAGGGGCCCTGGTATGACTGCCTGCCTGACATGCCCACCCCACTGTGCCACCCTGACCAGGACAGTGGGACTGGGGATCTTGTCATGGAGCTCCTGTGGCTCTTCAAGTCTGCCCCTTGTCGGGCCTCACAGAGTCTGTGAGCTGCCTGCCCTGGGCCGGACTCTGGCTGTGTGCAGGCTGCAGATTGAGGCTGTCCCCACGGGACGAGGCTCTCGTGTAGGAAGACCTCCCACACCACACACAGCCTCTCCCTGTGTCCTTGCTCAGAGAGGGTGAGCGTCTGCCCAGTGACACACAGCCTAGAAGCAGGAAGGCCCGGGATGCAGCTGTGGTGAGGGCCACATGGTGCACACGTGACAGTCCACGCAGCCGGGCCAGACCCACACACCACTGTCCCCACGACCTTGGGCCTAGAGGCCATCCTCGGGTTTGTCGCAGAGGTGGAGGTGAGTTGCCAAGGCAGGGGTGGGCGCTCCTGGCAGATGGCCATCTCTCCAGCAGTGAGCAGTGCTGGCCCACGGCAGAGTAGACAGGAGCAGTGTGCTTGGGGCAGAGCACCTGTGTGTCAAAGACGTCTAAAAATGTCCCCAAGAGGGCATAGTGGAGGTTGAGGTGGGGCCCTGGGGCCCGAGGGTGGGTTGGAGCGCCCTGCCTCCACTCGGCCTCACTCTCCCCACACAGAAGCAGCTAGGAGTGGCCGCTGCTCGTGATGGCCCATGGCCTCTTCAAGCTTCCCTGTCCTCACCGGTGACCATTCCCCCAGTGGGGTCACGCCGACCCCCAGTGTCCTGGCCGTGGCGCCTGAAGTCGCCCTGTGGCAGTGCCCAGTTCTGGGCAGCCCCACGTGGGCTCCAGGTCACTGTCCATCCGCTGCCTCCAGTTTGCAGTTAAGTTGTCCCCTAGATGCCAGCTGCTCCCTGGCTCGGGGCATGTGGCCAGGTCATTTATTAATCACCTGCTGTGTGTGCTGATGCAATCTCTAACTCTACCAAGCATCAGTTATCTGCCTGCCAGGAAGAGGGTGCTGGGCCTGAGAGCCACATGGGGACCCAGCGGTGCCCTCAAGGCTGTCCTCAGAGGCTCCGAGGCCAAGTCTGCTGTGTGTCCTGCCTGGAGGAGCCAGAGAGACCTTAGGCTGCGTAGGTGTCTGTGGTCACAGCTGCCAGCCCCAGCCCCCTGTGCTGGACCAGGCCTTTAAGTCTTGGCAGTAACCCAGCCATGCTATATTCATTCCCTTTTCAGAGGGGAAACTGAGGCCTGGAATGCTTTGACACCTCTCATGACAGAATCAAGTCCTTCTCCTTCCTAAGTCAGGTGTCCACATAGCCCTGACACTTGGGGCTGATCACAGGCTGGCTCAGGGCCTCACCTGCTCCTTTCAGGCCCGGAGCCTCTCCTCTCCTCTCCCTCCTTCCCAGGCCCGGAGCCCCCCTCTCCCTCCTTCCCAGGCCCGGAGCCCCCCTCTCCCTCCTTCCCAGGCCCGGAGCCCCCCTCTCCCTCCTTACAGACTCAGAGCCTCTCCTCTGTCTCCTTTCTAGGACCCTGGATGCTGCTTGCCCTGCAACTCAGCTGCCCGACCCCAGGAGCCGCCGTACCCGTGAGGTGTCCACCTTGCTGCACATGGCACTCCCCAGACTGCCAGAGCCCAGGCTGGCCTCATCTCCACCATGTCCCTGGACCAGCCCTTGCTCTGACTATGGCTGGCCACCATGGGGTAGGCCACTCGTGTCTCTTGGCTGCTGTTCCCAGGAGGCAGCTCCCTCCTGGCACATGGGGGCTGGCCACAATGGCCCAGAGGGTCAGAGCTGGCCAGCCCCAGAGACCTGTGCCCAGAGAAGGGTCTCGACCCACCCAAGGACACAGCAGTTCTGTTGGATGGGTTGGATGAGGGACCAGGGCCAGCCTCTGTCTCAGGACATTCCAGAAGGACAAGGAGATGTCTCTCCCTCTGCCGAAGCACCAGCGTCCCCATCTCCCGTGGTCCCTGTCTGGGTTGCCTGGTGACCCCAGCATCTGCCCGCTGCCTAACCCAGGGACCCTGGAGAGCCAGAGCTGCCTTTTGGCCCTGTGGTAGCCACTGGCTCTGGTCTCAATGCCTGGGCTTGGTGACCATCAAGAGGAAGCCAGCCAGACCTATGAGGGCCGTAGACCCTGCGTATACCCTGTACCAGCAGTGAACAGGCAGAGCCCAGCACCCACTTTTCTAATTATGAATGACTAATAAAGCCTACGTTTCTCATCGGGCTCCACGTGCCACCTCCTTGCTCCCAGGGCTGGGCCGGTCTTGGCCTTCCCATCCCCTCTCCAGCTGCCCTGCAGGGGCGTCGGGAGCACGTGGCTCGGGCCAGGGCCGCTCCCTCCAGAATCTTGGCTTGGGGTGAGGTTTTAGGCACAGAGGCTGAAGTCATTGGCACTGGCAGCCCCTGGTGACCTCTGACCCGAGCCGGAGCAGGGGTGCGGTGGTGTTCCGTCCCTCCTCGCACACTTCCAGTGCTGTTTCCTGCCCGGCTGCATTGTTCTCTTGAGGTTCTGCCCCTGGGTCTCGCCCCATTAAGTCCAAAGTTGCTGCTTCCCTGCAATGGTGTCCAGTGATGCCTGTGGTCAGCAGGGACATTTTCTGGGCAGAGGGGAGCTGACAGCCACGCCAGGACCAGGTCCTGGACTCTTGGGGCCCACCTGCCCCACGGGACCCCTCACCCAGTGGAAATCTGGCTCCTAGGCCTCCCGTATCTGGCGCTTCACTCTCTTTCCCTTGGTTCCCGTTCCCCAAATGCCCACTACCCACTCTCCACCACCCCTCCCAGCCCCGGCCCCTCATCCCGCTAGATTCGGAGCATCTGGTGGACTCAGGTAGGGTGGGGCCACCCTGCCCCATCCTTCCTCCTGCACTGCCTCTGCATCTGGCTGTGGGTCCCCAACGGGGCCCCTTCAGGTGAGGTGCCCGAGCAGCCCCTGCCAGCCTCTGCCGTTTCCTCTAAGCAGCCTTCCAGGCACACAGGGGAGGGGGCGAGGCCTCCAGCACTGCTGAGGCCCCACTTACTTCCTCATCACTTTTCTTCTGTCCCCATCCGGGCTGAGCCCCATGACCTGGGGTGGCTCCAGCTCTCGGTTCCTCAGATGGATGAGTGGCCCCCACCCTGCAGTCCTGTGTCCATTGTTGACACCAGGTCTGCACAGCCCCGTCCCTGAAGTGACAGAGAGCAGAGGCACTCCTGAGTGAAGGGTTCTAACCTGGGGTCTGCTCTAAAGCACCCCTGGGGGAGAGCAGTGGCATCTGGTGAACAGCATAGATGCTGAGAAGCTGGACTCATGGCACCGCTCTCTCCGCTTTTGTGTTTGTCCCACAGAGGGTTTGAAAAGTAGCTCTGAGATGTGCTAGTTGAAAAGGAAGATGGGAAGGTATATGGTTGGTGCGAAACGTGCTTCCAAGAGGAGGCGATATGGCCTTGGCCGCAGGTTGCGTGGCCAGGGCTGACTCAGATGCGTGCCGCCCAGCGCTGGGTCCCTGATGAGGCCTGTGGTGTGGGCTGGCTGGCAGCCAGGCAGGAGGGAGGGCACGCTGTGTGCCTGACCTCGCACATTGGCAGCCGGATGTTGACCAGCACGTCTTAGCTCCTCCTCCTTTGGCCAGCAGAGGAAGTTCCCTGGATCGAGCTGGAGGGTTGAACTCAGATGGCTGTGCTGGGCCCTGGGCCACCCCCAGTTGGGTGTGTGCACCCTGACGCCCTGCGGTCCCCGAGCTCAGGTGGCCTCCCCTACTCAGATACCCATGCTGGCCGCCCCCAACCTCCCTGCCTACCAACTCCCAGGCTCATTCACCAACCACTCCACCAGCTCCGACCCTGACTTCCGGGGTTCCCACCTCGGTCCTCGGCCTGTGCTGCTGCCCGCTGAAGAGCCTCCTTGCAGGCCCCCATCGGCTGGCGGGGCTTAGCTCTAAAGTTGCCCCGGAGGCCTTTCTAACCAGTCTGATGCCGCCTCTCCCTGGTCACTCTCTCAGCCCCATTGCAGTTTATGCTTTGGTGCCTCGGGTTAGAGTCACTGTCCACGTCGCCAGAGACAGGCTGGCCAGGTGGATTCTCCCTGCGGACCTGGTGTCTGGAGTCCAGCCCAAGTCCAGGGCGGGCACTTCAAGAGTGAAGGTTCTGCTTGCTAGGTCTCCTGAGGGCCAAGGGGCTCTGCTGGAGTCGGGGGCAGGGCTTGGCACCCACATTCCTGTCTGCGCGTCTCCTACTTGAGGATCCCTGATCTGACCTGGCTCTACCAGCAGATGCCACCACCTTCCTGCAGCCTGTGTCCCCAGCACTGTCCAGCACATGGTAGGTGCTCCGGAAGTATCTGGGGCAGAGCTCATTCACCTGCCTATATGTGCTGGGTTCTGTGCACCTGTCACAGCAGCCAGGGGACAGACAAAAAAACAGGCCCAGGAGCTGCTCAGAGCCAAGCTAGCTTTTGGAGGGTTTGCCAGCCCCCATGGGGTCCTAGGACCTGAGGTATGCACTCCAGCCTGTCCTGCCTGTGGACCCAGCTCTGTTCTCATGGGAGACCTGGAAAGTGAACAAGATGTACCCGCCACGTTGGGTGGGGGTGGGCATGGAGGGACACACAGGGAGCTCAGGAGGGATGGGCAGGGAGGTCGGTAGGCAACCCGGGATGATGGTGAGGGGCCATGCGGAAGTCTGGGAAGAAGATTTGAGCCTGTACATAAGCCCTATGAACTGGGCTGGTGTTGGAGAAGCAGGTATGGAGGCAGGGAGGGGACAGTCACGTAAAACTGGGGATGACCAACAGGGATAGAGTGCGACGGGAGGGTTTCCTAACCTCTTTCCTATAATAGAGAGATGATTAGGTAGATTGATAGATGGTAGATACATGGATGGATGGATGGGTGTCGGATGGATGGGTGGTCAGATAGATTAGAGGGTTTAGATGGATGGATAGATACAGAGATGATTGATAGACGCTGTTGTATTAATTTGATAGAAAAAAGTAAAAGATGAACAGATTGACGGATGGATGATAGATGAGAAATAGATGACATACGGATAGTTTGATAGATGATGGATGGAAGATAGATACATAGGCAGACGTAGCTCTCAGTGGGTGATTCCAAAGTGAGGAGGTGCCGCTGAGCCAGCCCGAAGCCCAGTCTCAGCCCCTCACTCCCTTACAGGGATCCCTTGCTCGGGTCTCTTCACGACTTAGGTGCCCTGTGCGTGTCCTTGACGCTGCTTATTCCTGCCCACGTGAAAGCACTGGAAATGTCTTCTAAGTCTTGGGAGAGGGATCTGCAGGCTCCCTCTCCCAGGGCAGTGATTTCTGCCTGGTTCATCCTTGAAGGACCTGGCCCACTCACTCCACATGCCCAGAGGAAGGACGGGGGCAGCTCATGTCGGCTGAGCGGGGAGGTGGCTGGGCCTCCGTGCAAGGTGCTGGGCCCAGGCCTGGTCGGCCCAGGCAGGGAGGAGCAGCTGATTCCAGATGTATTGAGGAGGTGGCCATCTGGGACGCGATCCATGCCACACCCCCTGCCCAGCCCTCCCTTTGATTTTCTAGGGCCTCCTCTTCCACCTGCCTGCATCAGAGTGGAGTGCGCGTTTCCTCACTGCGTTCTTCTTAAAAATCAGAGGGCTGGGCCAGGGGTGGTGGCTCACACCTACAATCCTACCACTTTGGGAGGCTGAGACGGGTGGATCACCTGAACTCAGGAGTTCATGACCAGCCTGGACAATACGGCAAAACCCCGTCTCTACTGAAAATACAAAAAAAAAAAAATTAACTGGGTGTGGTGCACATGCCTGTCATCCCAGCTACCCAGGAGTCTGAGGCACGAGAATTGCTTGAACCCAGGAGGCGCAGGTTGCAGCGAGCTGAGATCGCGCCACGGCACTCTGGCCTGGGTGACAGAGTGAGAGATTTTTGTCTCAAAAAAAAAAAAAAAAAAAAAAAGGTCCAGATGCTTTCATATTTTTCTTGTCTTTTTCTCAAATACTTACTTTAAGGAATCACTAACTCCAGGTACTGCTGACCTGGTGTGACCAGAGGAAGCTGCGCCTCCAGCTGCTGCCCTGTGGCCCCCAGCCCAGCACCTCCTCGTCCTTCCAGCCAGGGGCGGCCGGGGCCTCCCACCAGCTGCCCCGGGCCGGGCCGTTTTAGGCAGTGTTGCTCACTCCCTCCACCTGTGGCCGCAGCCTGCTCTAAGGAGACCCGCCCCCGCCCCCAGCCCCTCTGCGAGGTTCCCTCTCCAGATCTGATCGGGATTTGGGGTCCCACTGACGCCCATCCAGCATGTGCTCAGCCAGACCCCAGCTGCGGGAGCGTGGGTGTTCCTCACCGGCCAGAGTCCCCATTCTCGTGCTAACCTTACAGCTGGGGGGAGAAGGCTCTGAGCTGTGACGTGACCCCAGCAGGCCGTGGTGACAACAGCATGCCCCCAGGCCCGAGTGCCCCCCCCCAGGTGCTGGGGACAGTGGGGAGCACGAGAGGCCGGATCCCCCCCAGATTCCGAGCCTGTCTGCATGAGGGTGGGTGTCCAGGGCCCACCCAAGGAAGGCCAGACCCTGTGGTTGCTGGCCCGGCTCATAAGGCGCTGAGCCTGCAGGACTGGAAGCAGCGGCACAACAAAGCTGCGTCAGCACCCCCGAAACCCGGCCTGTGTTTGCAGTCAACAGGGTCATCGCTCCCGGCCCCGGCCCTGGATTGTGCAAGACCCAGCCGCGCTTCCGGGTTCTGAGCTCAAGTGCTCTGTGTCCTTGCTGACCTGAGGCAATTACACTCCCGGCTTCCATACCGGGCCTCCCAACACCCCTCCCTCACCCTCTCCCTCACCCCTGCCACGCCCACTCCCTCACTCCTTCCTCACCCCCCTCACCTCCCCACCCCTGCCTCACCCCCTCCCTCGCCCCCAACTCCTTCCCTCACCCTTCCCTCACCCCCTCTCTTACTCCTTCCGCACCCCCTCCTCACCCCCTCACTCCCTCCCTCACCCCCCCACCCCTCTCTTATCCCCTCCGTCATCCCTCCCTTATCCCCCCACCCCTCACCCCTCCCTCACCTCCTCCCTCACCCCCTCCCTCCCCTTCCTTCGTCTCCCTCCCACATTCCCTTCACTCACTGCCCATCCCAGCCCTCTGCATGAGCCCTTCACCCCTCCCGCAGCTCCTCTGTCACACGGGAGGCCCCTCGACCCCAGCATCCCCTGCCATTTCTGGCGCAGTTCTGGATGTGAGAACGACGTCCCACGTCCAGG